ATCTTGTAAACTGGGTCGAGGGCCAAGTCAGGGAGAAATACAAGTACTTCGTGATACATAAGAGTACAATCGGGCTCGGGTCACCAACTATTGCTATTTCAGCGTGCCACCATTTACCGATGGAGTTAAGACTTTGGGTTTTGGTAAGGCTTTGGTTGTGATGTAGAACGCACCGTGGGTATATTCATGGAGAAACTGGACCATCATAAGAGAAAACACGGGTCCGGCGGAGGAAAATAATATGCAATGAAGAACGCATCATATCTCCCAAAGCATACGTCGGAATTGGACGAATTATAAATAAAAATCGCGTATTTTTTTTGAGACGGAATTAACCAAACTAAATGTTATTTTGTTTGTCATTGTCTATTTGACAAAATTCCCTATGGATTGAGAGATATCAGAGTTTTTGTCAGTTTTTTACTATTTTAGGTAATGTTTTCTGAGTCTGTTTTGATTAGGAAACAAATCCGGTTTGATTTTTAATTTGACCGATTTATTTCCCTAATTATAAGGAGTCTTTGAAGTAGAGTTTTGTTATTTCTATTTTTAGTAAAGTTCATGTCCTAATAGGAGTCCTTTTTTTTCCTATTTAAACATATGATTGTTATAACTTTTCATCAATAATATTTCTCTTTTAATATTTCCTTCATTGATTTAAAATTCTAAGTGGATTCAGAGATCGTTCTTTGTGGATTTAAAGAGCACTCCTTGATGGATTCCGAGTTTATCACTTCCGCGCTGTATTAGGTTAGTGTGATTTACTCGCCTGGAAGGGAGCAGAGGCTTGCAGGGGGTTCGATGGTCATGACGTTGAGCCTAAGCGGGGATGGGTAATCGATAGTTAATGTTGTGTTGTGGCCCCAGGTCTGGGGCGTTGCAATTGGATCCGGTTTGTGGTCTCAAGCCTATAATTATATATATAGGGCGATCGGGGGCTGATGAGGTGATTTATGAAGAGATTGTTGTTGGGAAAATAATTGAAAGAGCAAATGTTAAGTTGGCTCTGTGATCATACTCTTTCTCATTAAGTCCTTGCATTATCATTGGAACATTTCTGGTTTTCAATGCGTGTGGCATCGCAGACATTTGATATATTTCTTATTCCCGTTCGGATTGATGTGTCTCTTCCTTAGAGAGATTTTTATCTATGATGTCCTACAGTTTTATTCGTTGACATCATGTTTCGAACTCATCCATTCCCTTTCATCGTTCAGATTTAGACATGGTTAACTTACAGAGATTTTTATCTATAATGTCCTTCAGTTTTATTTGTTGACATCATGTTTCGATCTCATCCATCCTCTTTCATCATTCAGATTTAGACATTGTTAACTTAGAGGGATTTTTATCTATGATGTCCTTCAGTTTTATTTGTTGACATCATGTTTCGATCTCATACATTCTCTTTCATCGTTCAGATTTAGACATGATTAACTTAGAGAGATTTTTATCTATGATGTCCTTTAGTTTTATTCGTTGACATCATGTTTTGATCTCATCCATTCTCTTTCATCGTTCAGATTTAGACATGGTTAACTTAGTGGAACAATATATCTGTACATTACAAGATGATCTGAAATTGCATCATTCGCTAATTCACAGGATGATCTGAAAGTGTGAGTGTTGCCCTACGAATTGCATCGTTGGCTGATCACGTCTCAAAATATGTCTTTTGAGAGACTTGACAAGATTTTTGTTGTCACCAGCGCCATGAGACTCAAACCAAGTTTTGCTTCTCAATTTATTACCTGATCGTTTGTTGAACCTTGGCTAATTATTTGCTTTCTCCATGCATGACCTGTTTTCCATGGCGATGGTCTCACCCAGTTTAAGAACGAAGACCACCCTGACGGGCCCGTGACTAACAGTAGACAATAATTTGCTACTATATTTACAAGCAAGACGAACAAATCCAATACAAACTTGTGCTACTTTATTTGTCCAATAACATTCTATTCATGCATCGCATTCGACTAGGCACGACCTGATCACCTCCATCACCAACAAGACACTTAAGATACTTCCCCGTAACAGGCTTGAGAGCACAAGTCGGATCCAACTGCAGAGCCAATATCACCTGAGGCCACAACACCACATTCACAATCCACGACCCATCCACACTCGGGCTCGACACCACAACCATCGACCCCTTCGCAAGCGTCAGCTCCCTTACCGCTGAGGAGATCACTCCAAGCACAACCTTACCAAACCCAGAGCCCGAGTCCATTGGCAATTGGTGACATGAGGCAACCACAGTGGACAGTGAACCAAGCCCGATATGACTCTTATGCATCGTGACCTCTTTTTCGTGGGTTTCGACCAAGTTTACAAGATCCAAGAAATGATCTTCATCGACACTTCCATTGTTGTTTTACCCACTGTGCTTGCTTATTCCGATAACATTGCAGACTTGAGATCTTTCACATTGGCCTGTTTGGAGACTGCTGAACATATGTTGCCGACATAATTTTTCATGGTTGAAGCGTTAGTTTGGTTTACCCTTGACCTGCCGTCAATGAACCAGCTGAGTTGGCAGGCTGTATAGGATTCTCCAATGACATCGGAAAGAACTTTCAACATGTATGCTGAAAAGACTTGCATGAGCTTGATGACGATTGAGATTGGATGCTGACACAATGTACATGCCTTGCTAAGCAACCTGATAGAAATTTTTTATTCACACCATTGTGACAGATAATATTCGGATCACAAGATTTACACAAAGTTGTTTTGAAATTAGTTTCTCTGATAGATTAAATGCAGTTCAATACTCTAAAGTTTTCCGCTGATTACGTTGCAATTGGAAGAAATACCGTAAACGAGGGAATGAAACAAAACAGAAATGAGCTTCCGGTAGTTTTTTTGCAACCAGAAATAAGCAGGAAATTAAAAATTAAAGAGAAAGTGTTTGATCATTATTTGGTACTTGCAAATAAGTTGATATGACAGCTGACATGACATCCACTTTTAATGTCCCGTAATTTGGTTGCAATTAAAAGTGAACATGGAAACTTCAACATTTGACCTTGAAATTTTAAGGAGAGAAAATAAAAATTTACCTCTTTTACCCCATTTATGTACATCCACATTTTCAATTTTCGAGAAAGTAAATATTATTAAAATTTTGATGTAACATACTCCACTTCCAATATCTTCCGATTCGGATTAGATGTTGTTTGGTTGTTTTCCAAAAAAAAGGAAATCCAATTACCATCACCAACTACCTTGTTGCAAACCAAACATTGGAGATAAAAATTTGATCGCAACATTTACCATTGTAAACAACATTTACCATTGTAAATCTGTTTACGTAAACCAAACACTCCCGAAAATAATGAAATATCACCTGATAGAACATTAACCAAGCCATCAGGAGTGCATGTCGTGTGACTGCAAGTCGTGTAACTGCAGTCCACACTCGCCCTGAATCTCCAAGGAGGCCACGGAGCGAAGGGGAACCTATCAGACTTCAGAACCTTTGAAATATTATTTTCCTGAATAAACTCTCTCCATAAACTCAACAAGCGGCTCTAACTGTAAGAATCCAGAACCATATGGTTGATGCTCCAAGTAACAGAAAAAACTTTCACAGGTGAACTCAGTAACCTGTAAACACATTGGTATATCACTTGCAATACAAGGATAAATAAGCGCCAAAGAATTACTTGTGCTGTTGAAGTCCTGTCAAACAAGGGAATATTCGCCCGAGCTTCTACAAGCTCAGCTCCCTCATTGTTGTTATCCTTACCTTTCTTCATCAGGCTACTGGTGCATGATAACGAATCAGCAATTCTGTTATGAAAAAACACAAATCTATTGCATTGAATAAAGAATCTGAAGCAATATACCTTTAAGTTTAAATTTCATCGAGGTGCAAATGGTTCAGCTTGGCAGTCAAAACCATATCAGCAAAGAACGAACATACTCATTAAGCTTGTCCATAGCAAGACATTAGAGAAAGCTATGTAGAAAGTTTGCAGTAATTCTCATAGGTCATTCAAGTTTTTAGTGAGACAATGAATAATAAACTTAATTTATTGACATGGTACTTGGTAAATAACATGGAATACATCTGTCAATGGCCGTTCTGAATTATTAAACGTGATCATTGTTATCCTACTTGGCATTGACATATAATACAGAAACCATTTGATCCATTGTTGTCCTATCCGGCAGATAATAAGAAAATTAGCATTAGTTAATGGCTAAAGTGAATAATAAACTTATTTCATTTTTATCTTACTTAGGCACATAATATGGAGGGTCAAAATTTTACTCAATAGTACATAAATAGGGAATCATGAGCAGTCATCTTTGATCATGCACTTATTTAATAGTAGGTGAAGAATTAAAATGATTTTACCTTTATCCAATGTAGTATGGACATGGCTACAATCTTTTCAATGTTGAAAACTAATAATTGAATACAGTGTTGAACTTGATTTATATAAAGCGGGTGTTCTCATGTCACCTGCGACAAAAAAACAAATTGGAGATTTGTATTTGTGGACATTATATTGGTGGATCCAGTCATGTATAATTCCTTCTGAGTTACTTCAAGCTGATGACATCTGTTTTTTTTTCTTCTTTTCATTTTATTTTTCTTTTTCCTCTAATTTTTATTTGTCTGTTTTCTTATCTAATGATGTTTACCACTGGGTTAGACCTAAGGTATGACATTGACTACTGGTAGAGTGAGTCTGGACAAGTTCCTATTAAACTAGTTCAATTTTCTCATTCTCTTCAGTTTAGTACTTGGCTATCTCCACCTTCCAGCTATGCGCTAGTATTTGTTCCTTATCAATTAAATGTGTAATGGTGTATACTTTCAGACATTATTTTCATTTAGCACCATTAAGTACAAAAACATGATAGTTGTAGTAGCAGAGAACACTTCAAAAAATTAAAATATTTACTCTGTTATAGGTTCTAAACAAGTTAAGCAACAAGCAATATATCTTCAAAAGTACCAACAACGAGCAATATATCTCCAAAAGTACCTCGAAGACATGAAAGTTGTAACTTGAATGAAGAATGCTTGAGAACATGAAGCTCCACAAAACTTGGAACGTAACACACTGATAACATAGCGAGGAGGAAAACTAGAAGCTAACCTTCTACAAGGTAAACCATAGTGGACAAGCTAGACTGGCTCTGCATAATCCAATTGATAAATTTTCAGCAGAGATCTGCAGCTAGCATCTAAATGGTTAGAATTTTTGGGATATAAATCTTCAGGGATTTCTCAGCTTCTGGGGATTGACCCTTCTAAACTATCTTTGACATGCCTCATGGTTGGCCTGCTTTCTGGATTGGGCTGAACACACGCTAGTGCTATTTTTAGAACTGCGATAATCTCATCCTCCACATTAGGCTCCTGAGATAAATACGGGTCAAATACGTCAAACGTTGGCTTCTTCTCCTTGATACAGAACTGAAACCACTGAACCAAATCCATTTCCATAGTATCCAACAGAACTTCTGGTGATTGACCAGATATTAATTCAAGTAAAATCACTCCATAAGAGTAAACATCCCATTTGTTTGTTGGTTTCAGAGTTCTAAAAGCTTCAGGTGGTCGATAATATGGTTGATCATCAGTAACAGGACTAACTGGGCTAACTGCGGAATCAGAGAATTGACTTTGTGGTCGCTCTGGTGTGAAATCTTCTGCTAAACGAGCAAGACGCCCGACTGCAAAATCTGATATATATGGTTCCATTTTCAGTCCAAGAAGAATGTTCTTTGGCTTGAGATCTCCATGGATATATTTATGTCCATGCAAGAATGCTAGGCCCTTGGCTATGCCTTTCATGATTTTAAGTCGAACTCTCCATGACATTGGTGAAAAAATAACCCCACTTTGTCCTGAAGTTAGACACATAAAAAACTTAATGACATTCACAAACATTGATTAAAGTAGATAACTAGGCAAATTACGCATCAATTGTGTGAGGCCCACTATATCCACAAGAACCAAATTGAGCTCAGACAAGCTAATGATCAAACCAGGACACACCAAGTGATTCAGAAATCATATATATATTCAATTAGCAGATATTAACAGCTAAGAAGAAAGCATATAGAAGAAAGCATACCTAAGCTTGAATTGGAGAAATTAAGCTTAGAAACTATTATTACTGAATAACAAGTTTATCAGAGTTGATGCTTTTTCGGTAAAAGCTTGGGCGGTCAAGAACTTCATTATGTTGAGTGAGCAGGATTCAAGATGTGACATGCTTGCACATGGATTTTAATGGTCTCAAACAAGCTACATAACTTAGAATTTAGAGATTTTCGCTTCTAGCTCTTTTCAGTATGCACACACATGTACGATGTGCTTGCGATTGATACTACAATGTTTAACTTCATTGTGCACACTTGTATGTAACACTTCAACATAGCAAATGTAGTAAGTATTTATCAGAGTAGTATAGAAATTAGGAGGAACATACAACATTTTTTATAGTTCATGGGAAAAAATCAATTGCATTTCTATACTAAGAAAATCAACTTAGAGGAGATTGAACTTAACCTAAGTACTTACCATGTAATGCAGTAGAGAGAGATCCGTTTGGTATATAATCATATACGAGAAGCTTCTCCTCAACCGACCAATAATAAGCTCTCAACGCAACAATATTTGCATGCCTAACTTTTGCAATAGCTTCCACCTCTAGTTCGAATTCTTTACGCCTCTTCTGCCCTCCTTCTCCAAACCTCCTAACAGCAAAAGTTCGACCATCATCTATAAATGCAGTCGCTTGCAAAAGCTCTTCCAAATCAAAGTTCACATGCTTGTCCAATGGAACTAGACCAAATTTCTCTACTTCATTTTCACCAAAACACAAACATTCATTTCTCTTCAAATCCCCATTAGACTTCAATGGCCCTTTGATCCCCTTGTGCGAAATTGCTCTTCTATACAAGTAATAGAACAATAGACCTATAATACCAAGTGCAAACACATCACTCACAATTAATGCAATGACCAGACTTCTTTTCACTCTACCTCCATTTCTCACACTGCCCAACGTGCAAGGGTTCTTCAACGGTGGACCGCAAAGGCTGGGATTTCCTATAAAAGAAGATATCCCTCGATTGACCAAAGTGCCATTCTGAGGAATTGGTCCACTGAGATTGTTATAGCTGAGATCAACATACACTTTCTCAGGTAAATTTCCAATGCTGCTCGGAATCAAACCAGAAAACAAATTGTGGGAGAGATCAACAGTACCCTGAAGGCTACTAAGGTTGCCAATATCACTAGGAATCGCACCAGTCAGTCGATTGAACGAAACATCGAACGACTCCAGTGCACTCAAGCTTGTACCAAGACCCAAGGGGAGAGAACCAGAGAAGTTGTTGTGACTCAAAACAAGGGTCCTCAGCCTCTTGCAACGTATTAACGAAATGGGCATTGACCCATTAAGCAAATTATATGAAAGATCCAACATTTGAAGGGAAACCAAGCTCCCAATCTCAGAAGGGAGAGACCCAGATAAGGAATTCCCATACAGAACCAAACTCTGCAGAGATCTGGGCCTGAAGATCTCTGGAGGCAAGCTCCCATACAGTCTATTGCTCCTCAGGTTGATGTGCCTAAGAGAAGTGAGTGACCCAAGAGAAGAGGGCAATGTGCCCAAAAGCCCATTTTTAGGGAGGCTTAAGGAGACCACCGTTGACTGCTTGCAGGTGACCCCGTTCCAATGACATGGGTCTTGACCTGAGGAGTTCCAGTTGGTCAAGGAACCGCCTGGGTCATCTCTGATGGAGTTCTTGAACGAGAGGAGAGCAGTGGCTTCCTCGTTGAGGTCGGCATTGCAGATCAAGAGGAGGCTCCAGATGAGAGGGGCTACGGATAGAGCTGAAGCCCTCATGTTTTGGGCCCAGAAAAATGATGGATCGAGGGGAGGAAAGAGAGGAGAGTGCAGATTTCGCTGCGAGATGGGAGTTTTGGCCGCCTGAATTGATGTGAGAACATTTGGGTGTCGTTTCGGTTTGACCCAAGTGCGGTGCGTGGGCCTCTGTGATCAGGGCCGTTGGGGAGTGGGAGGCTCGAGAGGAGGTGACCTTTGGATTCGGAAGCTTGTACTGTGCCGAGTGTTGTCTACGTAAGCGCAAGTTTGTGCTGGTTTTACGGTGGACCGGGTCAAACAAATACTTCAACAAGGAACATTGCTAATTAGCAGTTAAAGGGGATGGTCGCAATCTATATCTGAAGTGTTTTGATAAAGAAAAATCCCCCAAGAACCCAAAATATAAGACCATATGAGGGACATGTGAGTTGTCCCCTCCTATTGCATAATGAGCTGACAATCATTAATGATGGTCAGCTCATTATGCAATAGGAGGGGACGTCCCCCTCACATGTCCTCCCTATTGGTCCCATATTTTTGGTCCCTGTAACAAAACTCGTTGATAAATTTAGGAAATTTAAGATTTCAGTGGACAATGTCGTTTGTGTAATCACCATTAATAGTGTCGGTTGTCTTTTAATTGTTCGAAATAATCTTTTGAGCAAATTTAAGTTTCATCGTATTAAAATAAAGGATTAAGTTTGGATAGACTCTATGAATTATTGCCCATTGCTATGGACCCCGTGTAGTTATGATTGTGTGAATAAACCACTTGAGTGAATTTTTTGAACTTTTAAAAAAAACCAAAAGTTTTTTTTTCTAGGTGGATAGATCCTTGCAATTCTATTAGGTACCGTTTGGCAAAGGGTTAAGTGAGGGGTTAAGGAGACTTAACCCCTTCTTAACCTGCCAAACACAACAAATCTATATAAGGGTTAAAGTGAGTTAACCCTCCATAATTTGTCAAACATAAAAAATATAGAAGGGTTAAGTTAACCCCTCTAGAGGGGTTAAAATGAGTTAACCCCTCAAAATGAGGGGTTTACTAATACTCCTATTTAGATGGAATAAGAGTTAACCCTTCTAATTATAAAGAAAATAGTCAAAATCATTGTTATTCCCAAACACTAAAACTGATCATAATGGCTAAAATAAAACTTATTTAACGAGTTAATAATTTAGTCCTTCGGATTATCAAATGGGCTAAGTACATTAATCCTTCTCTTTAACCCCTCTTCATTAACCCTTTGCCAAACGAGGCCTTAGGGGCTGTTTGGATAGGTTTTTTTTGGTGGTAAAAGAGGAGAAAGATGCCAAAAATGTCAGCTTTTTGGCAGCTTTCCCCTAAAATCACCTTTTTAAGGGGTGATTTTGGGGGAAAGCTGCCAAAAAACTGACATTTTTGGCAGCTTTCCCCATTTTTACCACCCAAAAAAAAGAAACCAAACAGCCTCTTAGTGCGGATAAACCTCCACTCGACAATTGTTTTATGACTCTTAAAAGAATTGAAAATAGTTCATTCATTGGTTCTACCTGCATTTGGACAAGTAGGACGGCCGCACAATTAGAATTATATGAGGCTTGTTCTATTAAGAAAAAATTGACAAATATGAGGTTTGTTCTATTAAGAAAAAATCGAGACGGGGCTCCATTCTCAACTGGGCGATACGCTAAAACAGAAAATGGTAGAACTCTATGCATAAAAAAAATCAACCCCAAAAGGTGTATCAGAAAGAATTTCTCAGATGTCGGTCATTTTGTACAAGTCCTTGTTTTTATGGTTTCATGTGCTAATGTTGGTCTAATGGACAACTCAAGGAGTATTGGTAGCCAATTATGTAGCTATTCATTCATAGAATATTGTTGAACAGTGCCAGCATACTCCAAAATTCTAGTGACGGATACACTACTGAATGTGATCGCCCAAAAGATAAAGGTCGAATTTGTATGGGCGAACACTTTCATGATCGATCTCACAAAAAAGTGTGTGTGCACATAGAAAGGATAGAAGACTGGACCCTCGTGGTCAACATATGCCTGCATCCGGCAAGTGAACTTTAAAAAAAGAACATAAATCTATTACTTTTAAACTTAAAAGCAAATCTGCTATAACAATGATACGTCAATGTCCAAGTTACAGCAAATTGCGAATATCCGAAGCAGTGTTCACGAGACAGTAAATTTTTAAATCTCCAAAACCAGCACTGAAGCTACAGTGAAATTCTGTACCTTAAACAGTGGTCGTTCTACAGTAAAATTTTGAAATATATGATGGCACTATATTCATTTTGTAGTAGGATGGATTGGAGTAATTATCAAACTTAATGGAGTAAAAAAACACAATAAAATTAATGATACAAAACCAATTTTGATTAGATGTGCAAAATTAACAAAACATTACCCCGTGCTTAGCATGGGATTAATACAAGTATTATACCAATAATAAGAATGTGTACAATGATCCTTTGTTTCCTCCTGTCACATTTGTGGTAGGCGTCTGCATTTAGATTGTTAAAAAAGTGCACAATAGGATATTGCCGTAACTCGTAAGAAGTTTATTAAACTATTTCTATAATAGTGGGGTGGCTTATTATACCATAGAATAGCTATAATTCTCAAATTAATTTTTTAACCACTTGTGAATACTATTTCTATAATAGTAATAATATTCCTATTACTATGAAACGGTCTGATAGAATCTTTTAGTGAGGAATCAATCCAGTGAAATTGGTGTTTGACTATCTTGTGGTCATAGAAAACCTTTTTAATAGTTCTTTATGAATCTCTCGCACTGGCCCGTAACCGGCTGCTTAACTGTTCGTTTCAAAAAAAAAAATGGAAATCAATGAATAAGAAACTTATTTCCTATAATAATTGTTTGAGGTTGTTTGGTTGGTTTAAAAAAGAAGAAAACTATAGAATAGGAGATTTTCTCTCAAAAAAAATTATAGAATAGGAGATGAGAAGAGATGAGTTGTCACCTTATTATTGGATGATGTGAGTGAGTTTAAAAAAAAAAAAAATTTGTTTTGAGTTTGTTTGGTTAGTTAAAAAAATAAGAAAATGAATTGGAGGTATATTAGGGGCTGTTTGGTTGGTTTCCTAAAACCAAAAAAAGGAAATCGGTACAAGGAAATCAATAAAATAATATTTTTATCCATTTTCATCCCTAAAACTCACCCACAATATCCAATAAAATATTATTTTTATCCTCCAACTCATCTCATTTCATCTTCCTTCTTACCTTTAAGGGGCTGTTCGTTTCGCAAAAATTTTTGGGAAATCAAATAATAGGAAATCAAATAATAGGATTTCTTGAATTATGGTTGTTTGGCTGGTTAAAAAAAGAAGGAAATTAAAGAATAGGAGATGAGATGAGATGAGTTGTCATCATATTATTGGATGATGTGAGTGAATTTTTAAGAAAACTTGTTTTGATGTTGTTTGGTTGGTTAAAAAAAAAGAAAATGTATTGTAAGAAACCTATTTCCTATAATAATTTTTTTCTTGTGTTTGGTTCATTCTTAAAAATAAGAAAATAGATGAGATGAGATGAGTTGTTTGTATATTATTGGATGATGTGACCCACACTTAAGGAAATCAATTTCCTTTTTTTTTTTGAGGAAATGGGTGGAAATGAAATGTTAATGAGATGAGATGAGTTGTCACCATATTATTGGATGATGTGAGTGATTTTTAAATATGAGATGAGATGAGTTGGATGATGTGACCCGTTTCTTGTGTTTGGTATATTTTTAAAAGTAAGAAAGGAGATAAGATGTGATGAGTTGATGGATAAAAATAATATTTTATTGATAAAAGTGTATAGATTTCTTTTTCTTGGATTGAGTTTTATGGATGGAAGTGGATAAAAATAATATTTTAATGAAAAAAGTACATATATTTCCTTTTCTTGGTTTTTAGGAAATCTCCCAACGCCAAACAAACGGGCCCTAAAAATAAACCAAACACAAGAAATGTGTCACATCATCCAACTCATCACATCTCATCTTATCCCATTTTAAAAATCACACACATCATCCAATAATATTGTGACAACTCATCTCATCTCATTAAACCTTCCTTTCCATCCATTTCCTTAAAAAAAACAAGAAATTGATTTCCTTAAGTATGTGTCACATCATCCAATAATATACCTCCAACTCATCTCATCTTATCTATTTTCTTATTTTTAAAAATGAACCAAACACAAACAACCTCAAAACATCATTCAATAATATACCTCCAATTCATTTCCTTATTTTTTTTAACCAACCAAACAACCTCAAAACAAGTTTTTTTTTAAAAATCACTCACATCATCCAATAATAAGTTGACAACTCATCTCATCTCATCTCCTATTTTATAATTTCCTTTTTTTAACCCAACCAAACAACCTCAAAACAATTATTATAGGAAATATGTTTCCTATTCTTTAATTTCCAAGTTTTTTTTTGCGAAACGAACGAACCCTTGTTGGATGATGTTTTGAGGTTGTTTGTGTTTGGTTCATTTTTTAAAAATAAGAAAATAGATAAGATGAGATGAGTTGGAAGTATATTATTGGATGATGTGACACATACTTAAGGAAATCAATTTCTTGTTTTTTTTTTTTTTGAGGAAATGGATGGAAAGGAAGGTTTAATGAAATGAGATGAGTTGTCACAATATTATTAGATGATGTGTGTGATTTTTAAAAATGAGATAAGATGAGATGTGATGAGTTGGATGATGTGACACATTTATTGTGTTTGGTTTATTTTTAAAGGTAAGAAATGAGATGAAATGAGATGAGTTGGAGGATAAAAATAATATTCTATTGGATGTTGTGGGTGAGTTTTAGAGATGGAAATGAATAAAAATATTATTTTATTGGTTTCCTTGTATCGATTTTCTTTTCTTGCTTTTTAGGAAACCAACCAAACGGCCCCTTAGCCTCAATGTCCACATATCCGTCACCTTTCCCTGAACCTCTCACATCGAACATCCTTTATTTATGTATTTATCAAAATAAGGTTTGAAAATTATTTGTAGCGCATGTCTTATCTTATGTGTGCTTTGAAGGTATGTGTGTACAAAAATATCCGTATATAAGAAAATATACTGGATACAAATATGACTAGTAAAATTTATAATTGGTAGGATATTTTGCGAATATAACTATATAGCAAAATATCCAGAGCCTTATTCAAAATATCGAAATATATATTGTGGCAATAGTTTTAATCCTTGATCA